GAGCGCTATTTGTAATACACACTAAGGTACAACTTTGCACTACTGTTACAACTTTGTACTTAATTAACTTGAAAAAAATGCACTCAATCATTTTGAGCCAAATTATCAGAGGCACAAGTATACCAGCTATTATCCAAAAATTAACAAGCATAAGAGGCACACCATATCAAAATTTATAACAGACTGTAGGTTTGAGAAATTCATTTAAAGAATAATCTTAGACTACCCTCTACAATACTAAATAATGATATGATAATGGCAAACATGCAAAAATAAGTACAAGTTTCAAACTCACTAAGCTTTTGTTCCACTCCAAACACCTCTGTTCTCATACACACCCCACCCTGGTGTGTTTTTGGCAAGAATCGCAGATATCTTGTTAACACTTTATAAACAACATGCTTCACTTCTGAGTTCCTGTCATCATTTCCTCTCAGAAACTTCAAAATAGTAAATATAGTCAACTCATCATCAATAATTTTTTTGGCAAGTTGAGAAAATAGTGAGAACAAAAATATTAAAAGTGTAAATAGCATTAAGATCAACAATTCTTAGCACAAGACTTCAATATCACTTCACCTGTAAGATACTCTTTCATATCAGACTTAGAAACCAAGTTATGCTATTTTTGTAAAAATAGCTGTCATTTTTTTGAGCAGTTAATTTATCTCTCACATTGTATCTCCTTCATACCTTAACTTGTCCACCTTCCTTGTAGTCTGTCCAAGTTGTCCCATTTGCGGAAAATTGTAGTGTGTAGTTCTTCACCCACTGATCTGCTTGAGAATTTCCTTGAGTAGACACGGCACAGATGATATGAAGTGTCTGTAGATCAATCTGCAGATATGGGTTGGTGTCAGTTGTTCTTGCACACCATGATGATCCTGATTTGTAGTTCAGTCGACTATTCTTGGCTGGTGTGGTGGCATTTTGTACAGAAGAAGCAGTTATATTACTGTTTGGAATTGTTCCCCTTCCCATTCCAAGATCTAAATCAACACAAGCTCCTGTAGAAACAAAATTACATTTGCATTATAACATATTCCTGATAATTATAGCAAAAGGGATAATGGGTTGGCTGTGAGAGGCAATTATATGTGTCTGTATCAGTTACCTCTACTATATAATGTCCATTAACATAACATAACGTTTATTCAGGAAGCTACAACGCAAATATAAAAAATACATCCTGAAAAGGGAAAATCATGAGGTTAGCCCTTTATAAAAACAATTTCCCTGACTTAAAAAAAAAAAAACAGTAATTAAAATTAGAGCTAGTCTGCTTCCAAAATGATTTACCAATTCTATTACAAATGAAGAAGAAATGTCAGTCCTTATTAAGCTTTACACCCTAACATCAGTATGCAAGTTTTGCGCACTGTGCTCTTATGAATTCTTAAGAATTTTTCTAAGAATCCAGAGCTTGTTGAGTCTGCAATCATTTCCTTTATTCTGATAACTTTATAGTGTTTGATTCATTAGTGACACTGATGGGAGATATCACATGCTTAAAAGCATTCATAGGGGTAACATGGTTCTCAATGATCAAATCTGCAGCATTCGAAATACTTTGAATATAATTATCATTTCTGAAGGTGTCCATTTTTAGTAAAAACAAGGAAAGATTTTAGTTTCTATAGAAACTGTTGTGGTGCACTGGGTAGATAGACTGCCTCTGTAAATCTGAGAAAAGTGGGTTTGAAACTGGCTCTCTTAGAGCAAAGAGAAGTTCTCTTTTAGTGTAAATATGTAGTTTCTGAGGTGCAAGGTAGGGATGTCTGGGCTGATCCAACAGAATAGCTGAGTTGACAGATCTATATGCTGGAAGAGGCATAATCTAGAATAATTCATCCATAACTTGTTATGCGTACAGTTCTTTAATGAAAGAAACATTGGCAAAAACAAATGACTATCATTGGAACTATAAAAAGCTTTGTTTTAAGCTGGTTAGAACAAGTAGAATAATTTATTAGTGATGTTTAATGAAATTGAAGCAGATGTCTCTACCTCATTAGATTGTCTATAGCTTCATTGATATAAATGCAGAGGGATTTTCAACTGTACCGTTCCTTTCAAGGTGACATTTGACGAAAAAAAATGCAAATCCCGAGGGACCCTATTTCTTACTTATATTGATGCTGTCCGCAATGAGGATTAAGAAGCGACCGTGCGAGAAAGCCTTAGGCTACAGTACTCAAAACTAGAAGAAATCTCCAACCAAGCACCCTGAATGTAAACATTAATCTATTTCTAATATATTTCAAATGAAATAGTGCTCACCTGAAGCCAGAGGAAGAAGTACAGCAAGAAAAGCTACCCGGAAACGAAGGTCGAGACTAAATTGCGCCATGAATCGATCGAGTGTGTCACGGTATGCGATCACGATTGTTTTTCTTGACCGGCCATTTCAAAGAAAACGCTCATCCGAAAAAATATATCTTTGATTCCTCACTATTCAAGCTCGTCTTTGTATAGTTTGTAGCCGTATCGTCCGCGGTCCGTGCAAAACAATCACACTGCCTGGGCTGAGTTTTATAGTCCCGTAACTGAAGATGACAGAAGCTGGAATTTGCTCATACTTCCCAGAGTGCTCTGCGCTGTAGCTCATGTTTCAGCAGATTTCAGCTGATTTCTGTTTGGTTTCGTAAGCTAAGAAGCGCCAAAGTGGACAAAAAATGTCGTTTAGCAATTTTTCTTTCCAATTACATAAATATGTTCTAAACTCAAGATTTTTGTCCTCAGTTTACATATTAGATGCTTACTTAGTGAAATATTGATGCTCTTTTTCGCATTTATTTTCTAAACTCTTCAGTTGCGTTACAAGTACAGAAAAAAAATATTCTAATTGAAATGTGTTTTAGATATTGTTGTGAAATTCTACTTATCGAAGCCAAGAAAGTATTACTTAATGCCATATCAACCATGTAAGTGAAAAAACTCCAACTAACCTCTACTTTCAACACGCTACTGCGAAAACTTCAAAACTCAGTTTTGAAGTTTTCGCAGTAGTGTGTTGAAAGTAGAAGTTAGTTGGAGTTTTT